ACTTTTGGCAGCAAAGCTCTCCTGTTTTGTGACAAAAATAAAACCACTTCGATAAGAGACATAAAGCTTTTTGCGTTTTTTTTAAACTGGTATAGTTACACAGTGTTATTTTGGCAACTAAGATTTACAGAATTTTGCAAAAGCCTAAAATACTGTGCATAGAATTTTTATTTTTATTTTTGGTGCAAAATTCTCCCAGAAGTACCAGAAGTATAAAAACCTGTCCATCTATTCAAAACCTTCTTTATTGTCTTTGCAATTGTTTGAAGAAAATGTTAACATTTCAAATTCCTGAAGAAAACAGACTGATAGGCTTTTGTTTGTGGGAGACTGAATTGGGGTTTTTATTACTATAAATAATCATAACACACTCTCTCTAACTTTATCTATCTTTCTATCTTAGATCTCCCAATAAGATTTATTTTTTAACCTTTAAAAATTACATTATTATTCTAGTTTAACAATTTTAGGAATTAATGTATAATGTGTTTATATTAATGAAGAAACCGCACCTCAACTGGAGAGAGATCTTTACAACTAAGAATTTCAGATTAGACACCATCAATTTTTCTGCTAACGGTCAATTCCCTCAGATGATGCAGACAGCACATTCAGCCAATGAATTAGTGTCTATGTACCACAAAATATTATTAAATCCACAAACATTTACTCCTCATAGAGAGAAATGGGAAAAGTAAAGAGACAAGAGTTGTTGCTTTTTTTTTAAAAAAAAATCTGATATCTGTAAGAGAAGTAAGGAAGGGGTAGTTTTTTTTTTAAATATATTACAGTCATGCCTATGGGTTAATGGAACTTTCATAACAAGGAATCGGGTGGCACTTTAAAGACTAAAAAATTGATGAGGGTAGTAGAGCATAATGAACAAATAAACAGTTTCTGAGATGAAATGGTTACTTACTGCAGCTGTGATTCTTCAAAATGTGATAGACAAATATTGTAAGTAAGAGTGTCCATGCCCCTTGTGACATATCCAGAGACCTCTGCCTTGCAGTACCTGGTGCTTTTACTTCATGCCTATTGCCCAGCCTCTGGCTATATGGCTATACAAGACTCTTACGCAGAGGGGAAAGAGGATTAGTCATGGAATACACATCTGCATCACCTCTCAAAGAACCACACTTGTAGTAAATAACCATTTCTTCTTTGAGTAGATTCAGACATATATTCCAAGTAGATACTGACCACCGAGCAGGACTCTCATCCACAGGGGAGGCTCAGGGTCTGTCTAAGAAAGAATTGCGTAGCTACTCTTCCAACTCTAATGTCTGGTCTGGCAGAAGCAGTGATCACATAACATACACACAGACACTTGAACTCTATTTGCTGAGTGAGAATCAAGGCAGACTTCGTGGTGATTAGAATTAGACCCAAATGCCAAACGGTCAAATAAATGTAGCACAGTGTTGGTGTGATCAAGAACTTCCTCTCTGAAGCACCTTTCAGTAACTAATTGTTGAAGCAGGGGAAAATATGGATTCTCTTCTTTATGAGGTATGCTATAACTATCGCCATGCATTTGGTGAAGATTTGGGGATAAAAGAAAGGCCACACAAGAGAACAAAGTACTGAAAAAAAAATCACATTTGTAATTTCTTATAACAAAGCCATTTCCTGTGACTCACTAGGATGGATACATGAAAATAAACATCTAAGTCCAGAGCAGTGAATTAGTTATTGTGAGAGAAAGTCAGGAGGATAACAGAACAAGTGACCATAACGAACTTCATATAGCTGATGAATTTGTTGATTCCAAAAAGTTCAAACATGGCTCTCATCTTGCCCTTGAATTTTGGTATCAGGAAATACCAGTAGAATCCATGAACCCAGTGTCCTCATGGAATCTCCTCCACTGCTTCCAACATTAGCAGATGCAGGGATGGGATCTGGGAAGAGTCATGGAGAAGAACTGGATGGTGCAACCTGATCTGACAATGACTAGGACCCAGTTGTCTGAGGTAATTGAGACCTAAGCACTGTAAAAATGGACCAGTATGCCCTGAAAGAAACACGTAGATGACAAGGGAGGAAGAACAACTGAAACAGTGATCTGGGACCAATGAGTCAAAATGGGTGCTTAGCAAGTACCAAGGAAAGGCACACAGACCATCCTGGCCATAAGCCTGAATGCTTCCTCTTACACAACATTTCCCTCTTCCTGTGTGTGACAGACTGCTGGCTAAGCCAGAACTCTGCCACTGTAGCCTGGCTAAAGAGATGGAGGGGAAACAGCTGAGCAAGCCCAGGCTGAAGGGCTATTAGAAGCAGCTATTCAAGAGCAGAGGGCTATATAAGGCAGAGGAAGTAGGCCAGGAGGGGACAAGGAGAGCAAGGAGCTGGGTGTGCTTCCAGGTAGACGGAGGAGCTGGCTGAAGTGACTGTAAGCTTTGTAAACAGAAGGTGGTGGGAACTAACAATAAAAGTATGGGTGACTGCACCAAAAGTGTCTCTGGCTGATTAGTGGACCAGAAGGTGTCCCAGACCAAGTGGCCTGAGCAGGGACTCCACCACACCTGGTACCAGGAGAGGGGTGCAGTGCCAGCAAATGTGGTTGGTGGCCCAGAGATGGAGAAGAACCTGCAGTGGCTGGTCAAGCAGCAAGAGCAAGCACAGCAGGCCCTGTAGAGCTCCCAGCAGTCCCACCAGATGGAGAGGCAGGCTTTGCTAACATGCCAGGCAGAGCAGCAGCAAAGCCTGCAGGAATTTATAAAAGAGCAGGCCAAGGTGCAGCAGCAACTCCTGAAATAACTGGTGAGTCCTGGGGAAGAGGATGGTACCTGACCGTCAGGCCTGGAACTCTGTAAAATGGGGTCAGCAGATGACCCAGATACATTTTTGAGGACATTTGAGCAGGTAGCCATTGGTGCTGGATAGGACAGAGCTACCTGGGCTCTGCGTCTGGCTCTCTACCTGGCAGAAGAGGCTCAAGCAGCCTACTTGGCCTTGGGGGACAATCAAGCCCATAACTATGTGGCCGTAAGAACAGCCATTTTGGACCAGGTGGGTTTGTCCACAAAAAAGTACCGGTAGAAGTTTCAGTCAACTCGATGGACAGCAGCAATGAGGCCCCAGGCATCTGCCCAAAAGCTATTAGACTGGGAAATCCGTTGGCTGAGGCCAGAGGCACAGACGGTGCAAGAAATACTGGACTTACTCATACTCGAGCAGTTGCTTCAAGCTCTTCCGGAAAGTATCGTGTGTGGATCAGGCGCCACCAGCCTGACACAGTGGATGTAGCAGTCAGGTTGGTGGAGGAGTATGTCGAGGCAGAGGTTCCCCAGAGAGAAGGCCGACCCTACTGGGACGAGGAAGCCAGAGAAGACCCTTTCTGGGAAAGGCCCAGAGAGGAGGGAGTCACCTCGAGGAACACCTGTAGGGGCTGGTACAATGACCTGCTGGCAATGTGGGAGGCCAGGGCACAGAAAGCGGGACAGCCTAGACAATATAGATTGTGGACACGTGGGGTTCTGTCGGTTGACACAGATGAGAGGACTTGACAGGTGAAGTCTGCCCACTGTCCACACACGGGTGGGGAGAAAGGCCCGTCGAGAGCTAATGGACACTGTATCGGCCCTCTCGCTCATGTGGAAGGAGCTGGTGAGGCCACACTGGATGCTCCCTGGAGTAAGAGTGACACTAGGATGTGTCCATGGTGACAGAGGTCCAACCCAGTAGCCGCGGTGCCACTGGAAGTGAGAGGCCGGTTCCAGTGGAAGTGGGTTGGGGTAACAGACCAGTTACCATACCTGGTGGTGGTTGGTCGGGATTGGGACCAATCTGCCACAGAAAGCAAGTGGGGAGCCTCAAGGAACGTCAAGAGATCCTCCCAAGGGAGACAGAAACATAGTGATCGGTGCTACTGGTGTGGGGAACTCGGACACGTAGTTGGGCAACCCGGTGGCGACAGAAAGGTGGGAAGTGAGTCTGGCGGTAATGAGTAGCCCTTCTCCCTCCTACGGAGAGGAGGCACAAGTAGATTGCTCCCTAGAGCAGCCCCCAGAAAGAGAGACCCTAACTCTGGTTAGGGAGATGTGGGAAACTGAGGCACAAACAGTGCTGCACAAAGGGGAGACAGACCTTGATTCCCCAATGCAGGTCAGAGCAGTACCAGAGGAAGGGCACCAACAAGGATGCGGTTAGTGTGAGCACCTGTGGGCAATGCCTGCAGTATATGGGCCAGGCCCTTTCCCCTGTGATGGGGAGGGAACAAAAGAGCCTCCTGGAAAAACCTGGAGGGAGGGTTTAGGCACAAGTGGGGATTTGCCCCAAGGGGACTACCTTGGTAAGGACCCGAGTGGCCCACGGAGGGTGGAACCCAAGGGCAAGGGAGAGCTCCCCAAGTAGGACCCCAAGAAAAAAAAAGGGAAAGGCCACCTCCAGGAGCAGAGAGAGTTAAGCAGTGACAGGCCCAAACCAGACACATCACATGGGGGGAGAAGTGTGACAGACTGCTGGCTAAACCAGAACTCTGCCACAGTAGCCTGGCTAAAGAGACTGAGGTGCAACAGCTGAGCAAGCCCAGGCTGAAGGGCTATTAGAAGCAGCTGTGGGCTTCAAGAGCAGAGGGCTATGTAAGGCAGAGGAAGGAAGCCAGAAAAGGGCAAGGAGGCAGGGTGTGGCTGAGTGTACTCCCAGGTAGACGGAGGAACTGGCTGAAGTGACTGTAAGTTTTGTAAATAGAAAGTGGTGAGAACTAACAATAAAAGCATGGGTGACTGCACCAGAAGTGTCTCTGGCTGATTTGTGGACCATGTGGTGTCCCATAAGAAGGGGCCTGAGTGGGGTCTCTGCCACACTGTGGCCGTCTTGGGCTTTGTTTACACTGCAAGTTTTTGTGGCGGAAAATATGCTAATGAGGGACTCATTAGCATAAGTCACGATATCATTAGCATATTTTCTGCTGTTTCTTTTTGCGCAAAAACCCCATGGGCAAAAAGAAGCAATGTAGCCACTTTTGTTTTGTGCAAAAACCCCGTTTTGCACAAGATCCTTATGCCTCTCCCAGACAAGTGACCAGGGACTCATTAGCATATTTTTCTGCCGCAAAAACTCACACCGTAGACAAAGCTTGGCTATTGTGGAGGTTGTGGATGTGCCCCATAATGGCATCTTTGTATAGGTGTCATGTACACCGCTAGAAACCTTAAGATAGACTTTGAATCCTTAAGGAATGAAGGGTTTCGTCGGTCTTGTCCAAACACAAAGTTTGGCCATTGAAAGGAAGGTCTTCAATTGCTTGCTGGACATCCACCACAATCTCATAATTCTAGAGCCAGGAATCCCTCCTCATATAATTGCTGAGGCCATCACCTGGCCAAAGTGTCTGTTACATCAAGGGCAGATTGCGGGGACATTTCAGCTACCAAGCACCCCATAGGTGATAAATGTCCAACATTCATCATGAGTGCTAGGATGGAGGCCTCCATTCTGGCCTCGAGGTGCATGCCAACCCTAGTAGCTCTACTGATCTACTGGTAGATTTTGGATCTCCTCTGGTGAGGTGGAATAGGAGGACAAAGATTCTGAAACAGAGGACTCTCATACCTCAGAGACATGGGGGAGTAACTTCAGAGACAGTCAACATATGACCTGACTCAGAGCCCAGAAAGCAGTTATAATTGGCAATCCTGATATAACTGACACCACTGGTACCAAAAATGTTAGTACTGCAGGACCAAGTGCAAATATTGGTGCCCAACTGCCTCGATATCAGAGGTCGCAATAACTTCTATAAGACTATCTGCAGCATTAATTGTGTCAGTGCCAAAGGAGGACCCGGTACTGAGCAACTGGTATTGTCTCTCATACTGTATCAATACCAACCTCAGAGAGGGGTACTCCCTGCTATAGTGCTGAAGACCCAGAGAGTTCAGTGACATGCTCCACGAAGGCTTGGACTAGTAGCGAAGACACTACCAAAAGACAAAGTAGGTTCACTGCAGCCAGGTATAAGGATGTCACAGACACTGTCAGTGCCAGCTTAATTCTTGTTGGCACTAAATTCAATAGTTGCCTGGAGGCCAGACTGAAGTCAACAAAATGGAATGTCCTATACCAAGAGAGGATCAGAGGCACCTGAATCATTTTGCATGCCAGAGCTGGTCCTATGCCAGCCTGCTCTCTTGTTAGAGGAGGCAGAAGAATCACCCTGGAACCTGGATTGCTCACAAATGGTCTTATGAGACCCATTTTATGGCGTCAGCATTGGAGAACAACTCTTGTGCCTCTTCGGAATGACCACTGCCCCAGAACTGGAGGCAAAAATACTTTGAGCTACTGGGCCCAAGTGAGGAATTGCCACTCCACAAAAAAGGGCAGTGAGGACATCACAAGGAAGCCCTATCACTACTCTATTGTCTATAACTTTTCCTCTGACACTAATTAACTACACTATTAATAAAGTACAATAAAAGGAGGCTAAGGGTATGAACTGCAAGGTTATGAAGCAACCACCACACATAATTCTGACTCCAGCTGATAGCTCTGTGCAGCAGCGCTGCCCCAATGCCCATTGGAAGGGCTACAGGCATCTGTGCTACCCCCTATGGGTTCTGCTAGTAAAAGTCTCTGCTTCCAACACATGTGGTGTGTACATGTACACACACACACACACACACACACACACACACACACACACACACACACACACACACGGAATATATGTCTGCATCTACTCAAAGAAGAATTCACAGAGTTTTTGCTCCTTAAAATTAGAAAACATTAGGAGAGGCCCTGCAATATTTTCAGATGGGGTTGTATGAATTAAAAAAACAACCATTATTAAGATTAATGAGCAGAACATTCATATTCAATTTTGACATTTCAATTCTTTCCCTTTGAGAAATGAGCTAAAAATTAAACCTTTAGATGCTGTCTCACAATCTCCGGACTACCAACATAATGATTTTTAGAAACTGTACACATACATCTGTAGGGTTCCCAGGAGATAATGCACATCTTATGGGGTTAAGTACACTCTGGACCATGTATAACAACAGAGTAAAGCTAATAGATACCACAAACATGAATACTGAGATCCTATCAACACCACCACCAAGTGGATGAGGCCTCTGAAATCAGGAGGCAAGAGATATTCATTTAAGCAGTTAAGAGAGTCCTCTGAAGGAGGATGTGATTCAGGTGGCAAGAGTAAGGAAGACACTAACAGGAGCTTTCTGGTGAAGTTGGAATAAGAGATGGCAGGAGTTAAGAGTCAGTACCAGAGAAGAGAAGGATGAATATAGTACTAGTAAGAGCAGAGAGTGGTTACTTGTGTATCAATTCTGATCCATTCACCAAATCACACAGGTGCACTTTAAATGTATAAGCCTTTCCAAGAAGCTGTATGCTCATTATACTACCCATACAAGGCAAAAAAGAAACTAATATGAAATGTTGGCAAAATAGGTATGTACCTCCACAATATACTCTACAAAACTCAAGTCCTAATTTTGCTATTTTGCTTACTAACAGCAATGATTAAAAGTACTTTATATCAATATTCAGTCATCTGTCTACTTTTGTTGTATCTAAAATCTATCTGGATTTCTATGCCTCGTCAAATACATAATTAACCAAATGGCGTCTTCATTTGAACTGAAAGTTAATTTCCAGATTTCCAATGGAACATTTAAATTGTCTTGAAAAAATGATGGAATAAGTGTCAGTTGAGTATTTGTTCCTTGTGAATGAGGTTTAGAAAAACCAATCTCTAAATGAGAGCCAACCTTACTCATTTTAGAAAAAACAAGCTCAATTTTTGTTAAATTCTCTTTATCTGGGACAACCACACACCAGAGCTCATTCAAACAGTACAACTGAATTTTGTCAAACTGGGGCCGCTGAGGTAAAGTGTGCAAAAAATTAGGAATAGGATGAAAAACCTTATCTTCCTTCATGAGTCCTATATGAGTTGTTGTTAGAACTAGTGATCTATAGGTCATTTGTTTAACATGGTCTTCTATCTTCACTGTGGTATAAAGCAATACACGAACATCTCCTAAAGAAGGTTTATTACTTTCCATATTTTCATGGACTAAGTACACCAAATCAGCTAAGGCACTCTGGAAATTGCAGGACAACCGTAGTCCACTTGCAAAAACTAAGTCAGTAACTTCTGATGTCCAATGAAGTGACAACTGCAACAAATCCCCTTTTAGCAGCTGGTGGTTTAAATAAACGGCATCATTTGATGTAGTAATCAAACTACTTAATATATTGTGGCATATTCTCTGAGTGAAGTCTTTATTATAGGTAAATATTGTGAGCAAACTATCTTCAGAAGAGCAAACAAGTCTGACAGTCTGTCCAGCAAAACCAACTTCAATCTGTCTTATCATGGTGAATGGAAGAACATGAAAAATTGCCAAAGAATCCTCACAGTTGTCTTGTCGGTTGACTGATAAAACAACAGCATACAAAACAGAGTTAAACAAAAGCAAACAAGCTGGCTCTGGATCAGGTTTCTTGCAATTGCCAACAGCAAGCCAGTATACACCTTTTAATTGATCCATCCTGGCACAAACTTGTGGTAAAGAGAAGATCACATACTCCAATAGCTTTTCAAGAGAACAGACTTGAAGTTTCAGTAACTCATCTGGAAAATGCACAAGTTTTTGCCTTAACACCAAATTCTGTTTCATTTCTTCATTTCCATAGCAGTAAACAGATCTTTCAGAATAATCTTGTGGATGTGCACTCAAGATTTTTGAGGATACACACTTCACCATATTCTCTGTTCGCAGAAGGTTTTCTGACTGAATGCTGCTATCAATGTGAACTTTGGCCTCAATGGAGGGAGGCGAAGCCTTCTTCATATCTGATTCAAAAGGTACCTTCACACGTAATATATTTTTAAACAGCAAATTTTTCAGCAATGATGCCATTTGTGCACACACCTCATGTCTGTCATACAGACGGCCCAGCTCTTTTATTTGTTTAATAACTTGGGTACTACTGAGCATTTGACTACTGGTGTTTTTGTAAAGACAAGATAGCTTGTTGAAAAGATAGCTCATGCCATAGATCTGTGCTGGTTTCACATCTGAACATGAAACTTCTGACTTTGGGGAGATTATTTTACTAATATCCAGGTTTTCAACTGTCTGCTGAGAAATGTGAGGTTGGTTTGGAATAGTATGAAACAGTGTGTGAAATGGATTTTTCTGTTTGGATGCTATTTCAGAAAGTATGCTGGACTGAGAGAGAATTATGTAAGATGTACTGTTAAAACTAACCTGCTCATTCCCACAGGCTAAAGATTCTGAGCCAGAGAGGTGTTGAGAATGGGAACAATCAAATTTAGTTGATGCAGTGTCCCAGTCCAAAGAAGTAATTTTTTCATATACAGAATTATTGAGATTCACCATTTTATACTGTGAATGCTTCAGGTTGCCCAGACCATAATTTTGTGAAGAAGTGAATGTAATATTTTTATAATGAATTTTCTCCCCAGTAAAAGTGTTAGTATTCATAGGGTGATTCAGGTCATATTCAGTATCATATAGGCAATCAAAGCAATCCAGTTCTGACCGGTTCCTTTCATTTCTAACTCCCTTTGCTAATGGAGAGGGGTAACAGATTTGATCAGGATTAGAAAGTAAGCTCCACATCTCTGGACATCTGTTGTGTCTTTTGAAGTCTGCTATTGTATTTTCTCCAGCCAAGTTTGAGCCAATATTGTCATCTTTAAAGTCAAAAGGGAGACTGTAATGTGGCTGCCAAGGTCGTCTTTTCTGTTTAAAAAGTCAAAATAGGAAGCATCTTTTTAAAAAAAAATTATTTGAAAATTTCTTGAATTCAGGTTTAATTTTAATCAGGTTTGTGTATTCATTCACAAGTAATCAAAACTGTGAGACTAGTTCCAATTAGACTGATTGAGGTCTGATTCAGGAACAATCTTAATGTCTGCACCCTGCACCATCATTGTGTGTAGTGTACAGTATCCATTTCACGTTGTCTAGTACTATAGTTGATTTCCTCACAAGAAACAGAATAAGTTAACTAATTTTCTATATACTCTCAAGAATTGTATGATATAAACTAGGATAAGAAAATGAGGAACGGATTAGGGGAATAAAACATGGTATTGCCAAATACAACATTATAGTCCTGCAACACTTAATGGTAAAATACTTCCAGATTGTCTAACATTAAACCATCAGGACACGTTTATAAATATGTGCCTTGTAGTACTGCTAGTATTATGCTCTGATAGTAATGCTCTGATATTAATAGGACAATTGGATATTAGATATGTTAAAGGGCACTTCGTTTAGAATTTTTTTCCTGATCATACATTATTTTTGTTCTATAGATTTAGGAAAGGGATACTGTTCCAAATAAAGAATTATGAAAAAGATCCTTCACCACAAAAATACGCTATTTAAGTAAAGCAAGAACTGTACCTAATATGCTAGATTCTGTTTATTTTTTTGCCAGAAAAATAGCGTGCCTTCCTATTAGCTATTAATCTTACTATGAATTTGAAATTCTAATTATGCAGTTAAATATTAAGGAATTTAATTACTGAGCATGCCATAATTTCAGACAACTATTTCATTCTGATGAATTATAACCTACCTCATACTTCAACTTGCGTTGAACAATACCATTATGAAGTGCTTCATTATCCTAAGAATCAAAAAGGTACATGTGATTAAAAAAAGTTTCCTTCTTGTAAAACTTGTACTATTCATAGCAACACAGACCTAAAGTAATCTGCTTAATTGTCAAAAATACCTATCAACTTCTACTGGTGTTCAATTAAAATATAAGACAATATCTTGGCAAATTAGGAATTACCAATTAGGAAAAGGGAAATTTTAACAAAAATGGTTCTTTTTGTACACATTCCTTTTTAAGCATGCATTATTAAAAACACATAGTATTCATTCTGATGGAACTTTATGTTGTCATGAACAAAAGCATAATAAAAGCAGAGGAATAAAACTCTTCATTATTGATTTGGAAAAGTTATGGGCTTTCAGAGAATGCTTCCACTGAGCTCTACATATATGAGAAAAAATTTAGATTAAGATGCAGTTCACTGAAAATAACCACAATGATGCAGAACATAGATATCCTGGGTGAAATCCCAGCCCCATTGAAGTAAATTGCAAAACTATCTGACTTCCATGGAGCTGGGATTTTACTGTTTGATTTTAATTAGTGACTGTCTATACAGTGATTGAGCATGTGGCAAGCTCGGAGTACGTGAATCTATGGTACACTTGCATGCTGTGCATTAAGAAGCTAAGTACACACTACAGCTATGTACAAGTTTCATAATATCCATTGATCTACTGCTGTTTGAAACCCAAGTATTTCAACCCTTAGACATTTGAACCTCCAGATATACAACTACGCTCCTCAGAAATAATTTGAAAAAAGAAGTTACTCACCCTGTGAAGTAACGATTGTTCTTCGAGATGTGCCCCGTGGGTGCTCCACTCTAGGTGTCGGGTCCCGTCCCGGCGCCGCGGCTCGGAGACTTTTCATAGCCGTGCTCCGCCGGCTCGCGCATGCGTGGTTCCCCAGGATAGCGTTCGCGCCTTTAATCAGCCGCGCGCGAGCCGGCAACCGTCAGTTCCTTCATCTGCTCATCTGCAAGAAACATTAAGAAGAAATTTCCGGAGCGGGGAGGAAGGGCGGGTCGTGGAGCACCCACGGGGCACATCTCGAAGAACAATCGTTACTTCACAGGGTAAGTAACTTCTTTTTCTTCTTCGAGTGGCCCCGTGGGTGCTCCACTCTAGGTGACTCCGGAGCAGTAGCCAGAACAGAATTAAAATGCTCCGGAATCAAGACTACCAGCATGATTCAGTACTGCTGTAGCCACAGAATAATCTGAAGTAAACTGATCGATTATGGCATAGTGCTTCACAAAAGTCGCATGCGAGGACCATGTTGCCGCTCTGCAAATGTCACGAAAGGACACCCCACTGAGACAGGCCGTAGTAGCAGCAACTGCCCTAGTTGAATGAGCTTTGGGACGAGAGGGGAGAGGCTTTCCTCGCAGCGAAAGGCACATGGATATACACAACACTATGAGCTTGGAAATACGCTGAGAAGTTAAAGGCTGTCCTTTTGAGTGATTCGCCACTGACACTAGCAAACGGTCTGTTTTCCTAAAACCCCGCGTTCTGTCAATGTAAAACGCTAACGCTCTTCTCACATCCAACATATGTAAGTGTGCTTCTTGCGTTGAGGTATGGGGCTTTGGGAAGAAGCATGGTAAAACCACCGGTTCGTTTATGTGAAATTCAGAAGACACCTTTGGAATAAACGCTGGATGGGTTCTCAACGTTACCGATTCTTTCAAAAAAAACTGTATAGGGAGGCGAAGCAATAAAAGCTGCTCTCACCCACTCTGTGAGCTGAAGTGAGGGCTAGGAGAAATACCAGCTTGACCATAAGTAAGTGCAATGATACTGTCGCTAAAGGCTCAAAAGGGGGACGAGTCAAAGTTTGTAGGACCAGATCCAAGTTCCATGAGGGAGGAGGAGATCTCCAGGGAGGGTGGAGATTTGAAAGTCCCTTCAGGAACCTTTTTGTAGTAGGGTGAGCGAACAAGGAAATATCGTCATCCCTATGGTGGTATGCATTGATTGCTGCCAAGTGTACCCGTAGCGATGTAATTGCCAAGCCATTGTCGTGTAGTTGTAAAAGATAATCCAATATACACGGTAAGGATGCAAACCGCGAGTCCACGTTATTGTCCGCACACCATGCTTGGAACTTTGCCCACTTAGCTGTATAAGCGGTTCGTGTAGATTGTTTTCGACTGTGCATCAACACTTGCTTGACTCGCTGAGAGCAGGATTGCTCAGAGTCGGTAAACCAGCCAGCATCCACACAGTGAGGTGTAGAAGAAAGAGTTACTCACCTTGTGCAGTAACGGTTGTTCTTCGAGATGTGTCCCCGTGGGTGCTCCACTCTGGGTGCTGGTGCGTCCTCGCGCCGGCGACCGGAGACTTTTCTATAAGCCCATGCTGGCGCTAGAAGGATTACCCGAGCTTTCGAGAACCCTGGGAATTAATACTGTCGGTGGGAAAGCGTACAGTAGTGCCGTTCCCCAGTGGAGAAGGAAGGCGTCCCCCAGCGAGTGGTGTCCTATCCCGGCTCTCGAACAATAATTGGGACATTTCAAATTGAGTTCTGTCGCAAACAGATCTATCGTCGGAAATCCCCATCGAGCGAAAATATGTCTGAGTACGTCCGTGCGAATCTCCCACTCGTGGTCATGTGGAAAACGCCTGCTGAGAGAGTCCGCTACTAAATTGTCGACACCCGGCAAGTAGGAAGCTGTTAGAACAGTGTTGTTGGCAATACACCAATTCCATAAACGGATGCTCTCTGCGCAAAGAGAGCGGGACCGGGCACCTCCTTGCTTGTTTATATAAAACATAGTCGCCATGTTGTCCGTTAAAATCCTGGTAGTTGTATTTTGAATGTGCGACTGAAAATGCTTGTGGGCATGCCGCACCGCTCTCAACTCGAGCAGATTGATGTGCAGTAGCATTTCTCGTGGCAACCAACGTCCCTGGACCGTGGAATTGCCCATGTGAGTTCCCCAGCCTATGAGGGAGGCATCTGTAGTTATTTGTGTAGTAGGTTGAGGGCGATGAAATGGGACGCCCGTGAGAAGATTGGTCGGGTTGGTCCACCACTGCAGGGATTCCCGCACATACTGTGGTACCACTACGAGTCTGTGGAGACTGTGCCTTGACGGGATGTAAACCGTGGCTAACCAGTGCTGGAGGCAACGAAAACGTAACCTTGCGTTGCACGCTACGATGGTGGCAGCAGCCATATGCCCCAACAGCTGTAGACAGACACGTGTGGGGATTGTTGGAGCATGGACCACCGTGTGTACCAATTCCTTGATTAATATAAAACGTTCCATCGGTAAATACGTGCGTGCCATAGTTGAATCGAGGTGCGCACCTATGAACATGAGATTATGGGATGGAACTAGTGTTGACTTTTTCAAGTTTATGAGAAGGCCCAGGGTAGCAAATTCATTGGATACTACCATATGACATGCTTCCATATAGGTCATACCCCTGAGAAGGCAATCGTCTAAGTAGGGGAATATTGACACCCCTAGTCTGCGTAAGTGGGCCGCGACTACTGCTAACATCTTGGTGAAAACCCTGGGAGCACATGCCAGGCCGAATGGTAGGACCCTGTACTGGTAATGCTTGCTTCCCAATTGGAAACGAAGGAAACGTCTGTGCGCCACGTGAATTTGTACGTGGAAATAAGCGTCTTGCAAGTCGAGGACTGCAAACCAATCCTTCTTGTTCAATGACGGAAGAATGGTTGATAAGGTTACCATCTTGAAACGCTGCCTCCGAAGATGCCGGTTTAGCTTTCGAAGGTCCAGGATGGGTCTCCATCCTCCCGACTTCTTTGGTATGAGGAAATATCGGGAGTAAAAACCTTTTCCCCAAAACTGCTTGGGAACTCTCTCTATCGCCCAGATGGTGAGCAAACGTTGAACTTCTTGTTCCAACAGTTTCTCGTGAGAGGGGTCCCTGAAGAGGGACGGGGAGGGGAGGACTGCAAACCAATCCTTCTTGTTCAATGACGGAAGAATGGTTGATAAGGTTACCATCTTGAAACGCTGCCTCCGAAGATGCCGGTTTAGCTTTCGAAGGTCCAGGATGGGTCTCCATCCTCCCGACTTCTTTGGTATGAGGAAATATCGGGAGTAAAAACCATTTCCCCAAAACTGCTTGGGAACACTATCGCCCCGATGGTGAGCAAACGTTGAACTTCTTGTTCCAACAGTTTCTCGTGAGAGGGGTCCCTGAAAAGGGACGGGGGGGGGGGGGGGGGTGGTAGGGGGAATAGAGAGAAAAGGGATGGAGAGGCCGGATTGAACTACCTCTAGCACCCATCTGTCTGTGGTGATCGTAGACCAGTGGTGGTAAAAAGAGCGTAGACGATGGTGAAAAAGATGATGAGCTTCCGTATTGACTATGGGCAATTGGTTTGCATCCTCGACAAGCAAGTCAGCTCTGTTGCTTAGACGACTGCCGATTACCCGAACAGTTCTGCTGTGGTTGTTTACGCTGGGGGCGCTGTCTAGGACGCTGGTTGTCAAAAGGACGTGATTGCGGTCTAGCAAAATTGAAGTCATATCTATGTTGGTAAGGGAAATAACGTCTACGTTTGAAGGAAGGCGTGTACATCCCCAGTGTACGTAGCGTGGTGCATGAGTCTTTTCCCCGAGTGGAGGACCTCATCAGTGTTTGCTGCAAAAAGTTTAAGTGTGTCAAAGGGCAGATTCTCAACCTTGCTTTGCAACTCCTTCAGCGCCCCTGCTGACGAAAGTCAAGATGATCTCCTCATGGCGATACCAGTCGCAGCGGCCCGTGCTGCTGTGTCAGCGACATCCATAGCAATCTGAAGTGCAGCGCTACATGACGCGTACCCCTCCTGTACTATTGCTTTCAGGAGTGGTTTCTTGGTGTCTGGGAGATGGTGTAACAAATCTGCTAGTTTGGAGTAATTATCGAAGTTATGGTTCGACAAATGGGCTGAGTAATTTGCAATGCGAAGTAACAGTGAAGCCGAGGAATAGACTTTCCTCCCAAAAATATCCAATTTTTTATTGTCCTTGTCTGAAAGGGTATTTTTGTATTGTGGCACCTTACCCCTACATTGTGCTGCGTCTACTACCAGCGAATTGGGTTGGGGGTGATTGAATAAAAAGTCCAACCCCTTTGCTGGAACAAAATATTTCTTATCAGCTTTTTTACTTGTAGGTACAACTGATGTTGGGGTTTGCCATATTTCGTCCGCCACTTCCATAATCGCCTCATCGATTGGTAACGTGACTTTCGCATGTTGTTGAGGGCGGAGGTTCTTCAAAAGACGATGTTTCTTAACAGGCACATCTGCTAGCTGTATATCCTGCGTGTCTGCCACTCGTTTGAAGAGATCCTGAAAATGTTTCAGATCATCCGGTGGGGAGATTTCAACTGTGCAGATCGCTTGATCCGGGGAAGACGATGGGCAGTCCTCTGGGGAAGCTTCCGTCTTAGGGTCTTCTGTTTCCGATAACTGACCCTCCTCTGGTTCGGATTGGTCTAACTGAATTGTTGGGCTCTTAGCTGGAGAAGGTGAGCGCAGTGGTTGTGATCGATGAGGTAAGTATTCCGCTAATGGTGATTGGCAGATGCGAGAAGATCCCCAATGCGATGGTGGTGAATGGTGACGCTGGGGACAATCGACATACGATCTATGATAGCGCTCACAGTAACATTCAGAGCGTGACGGAGAGGGGTATCGAGAAGAACGTGCGCTCGAGGGGGAAAGTAGTCGCGATAGCGACTTCACCTTTTTGGTGAAGCAGATGGGGAAAGAGATCTGTCCCTATAATGGGTCTTTGACAATTACTTTCTATATGCTGAAGTCTCATGCCTTGCCCGAAGCACAGGGGAACCAGGCACCAAGTGAAGGTGAGACGGTGCTGGAGAGGTCAGCTGCTGCTGATCTGGAGTCGGTGCCGGCAGGGCCCCCGGTGCTGGGGTTAGCAATGGTGCCAAGTCTGAGGCACTGGCGTGTCCCGCCTCAGGTCTCGGTGCTGAAGGAGACAGTGCCGACGTCACCGCCGGGGCTGGAGAAACAGGCGCCGATCTGCTGGGTGCCACAGAAGCCGTTGAAGCCAGTGCCGGGAGGCTGGTCAATTGCGTCGCCGGCGCGCTCGTCAATTTCAATGAGCGGGCGGCTGAAGCCGGTGCAGGCTTGCTTGTCAGCTGCAGCACCGCTCCCGGTATCAGCGCTGAAGCCGCTCTCCCTCCGGATGGTGGGGGCTCACGTATGCCAGCCCCAGCAAGTTGTCCGGACCCCCCGGGGTTCACTTTAGAAGCTGCTGCTGGGGTTGAGACTGCCACAGGGAGGGAGCGCGTCGGGGACGGCTTTGACGCTCTGGAACCAGCCGGACCCGGAGAAGCTGCTCTCCTCTTGTGATGGGAGGGTTTTGTGGCTGCTGGAGGGATAGGATGTTTGCCTTGCCAAACATCAGCATCCTTATCTTCATTTCCCGCTCCCTCCGGGCTCTTGAAGTTAACTTACGGCAATGGGTGCACTTGTCAGGGACATGAGTCTCGCCCAGGCACCTAATACACGTGTCATGGCTATCAGCCGTCGGCATGGCTTCATGGCACACTGAACATTTCTTAAAACCAGTTGATCCTGGCATTGTGCGAAGAGTTAAACAAAAAACTGATCCCCTCTGCTGAGGGTGGTCAGTTTCACAGTCTAGCGATTCACCGCACCGCTTCTGAGTGAAAAGCGGGTTTGAAAGAAAAACTTTTTTTTTTTTTTTTAAACAAGAGTACACGTAACAAGTAACAGGACACAGCTAACACTAAAATTTTTAACTATTTACAGGTAAGCAACTATCTAAAACCATAACTGAAGAAGAAATCAGGGAGCTCCGACTGCGACCTGAGGCGGTTGAGAGGAACTGACTGTTGCCGGCTCGCACGCGGCTGATCAAAGGCGCGAACGCTATCCTGGGGAACCACGCATGCGCGAGCTGGCGGAGCACGGCTATGAAGTCTCCGAGCCGCGGCGCCGGGATGGGACCCGACACCTAGAGTGGAGCACCCACGGGGCCACTCAAAGAAGAATATGTTTTTTTTGCCTTTCACAAAGTACATTCACTATACATATATTATTGTATAAACTAAAATTGCATGTAATCCAGAGAAAGAATGTGGAATGTGGATAAAAGAATTAAACCGATGATTCTGAAGGTCTTTAAAAGTGATGTTTTCTAGCTGACTTTACTCACCTTTAGAATTTCTGTAGACTGAGAGAGGTCCATACTGTTATTTTCAGGTGTGTGGTGAATATTCTGAAGACGCCTTTGCACTTCTTCTTCAATTAATGCATTTATTCTTTTAAAAAAATGAACACACATACAAAAAAAATCTTTTCTTAGACAGTACTGTATAACTTAAATAGCAGAGCCTTCTGGATAGACTTTATTGGCTCCTATAAATTATGATTTTTTTCACCAGTTTTTGTTTAACTTTAAAATACACAAGTATTAACTGTCTGAATCACAATTAGTGGACCTCTGGCTATGCATTTTATTAATGTCTCTCTCCATTTACACACTACATTTCCATGTTTTTTTACTTTAACCTACTTGTTCCCTTTCAGCATTTTTCCAACATGTGCACTGTAAACAGGCCGGCTAAAATTTTTGGCCTTCACACAGAGTGAAAGTTTCAAAAGTCTATACTAATTATTGTGTGCACAAGTGTAAAATGAAATGAAAGAGAAAATCCTATAATTAATTTGTTTAATGTTATGCTATGCTGCTTCCCTTAATACAGTTTTTATTTACTTTGTCACTTTCAGTATGTATATGTGTCATGCAGACAGTTAAGCAAATCTAAACAAATAAATTTAGGAATAATTTAAAATAAGTATAAACCAAAAATTTCTTCAGGTGCTATTCTAATACAGAATATATCAGAAAAACATTTCAACATGATAAAAGCAGAGCATGTTTCTATCTAGTTTGCAATTAAAGTATCGTTTTGATAATATACTAAAAGATCCAGTCTTGGAAACATGCTGAGTCTTATTTGGAATGTTTCAATAATACTTTAAAGTCATTTAAAATCATGTTAAATCTGAATAAAATCAGTATATCTACCTGTCATCAACCAGTGGAACAAAATGGGATTGTGACTTTGTAGGGCTGGTAGGGGAACTGGAAATGGAGAGTCTCTCCTCTACTGTTCCATGATACCCTTTTTGTACATTATCACCTTCATATATCTTCTGCTTCAGCTGTTGAATTTCCTGGTCCAGCCTAGGAGTAGATTTTAAAATCTATTTCAATATCTATATTGTTTAAAAAAAATAATTCTACCTAGCTGAAGTGTTGTTTACAATACACTGTTTACAGTACACGGATTCCCAAGAATATCTGCATGAATATAAGACAGGAGATAAGTATGTGATATTATAATTAAATGAGGCTCTTCTAGTCTATATCTTTGTAGTCACAGAAATACTAATAAATATTATTTTAATAATGCATATTTAGATAGTGAATTACACACGTATCTGAAAACCAGACTTGAATAGAAGCATTTTAACTCAATAAATCAACATTTGTAACTTTGAATGTAACAAATCTCTCCGCTCATTAAAGTTAGATTGATTCATAAGAATTGGCTTATTAGAACCACTTGAAACACCTCACTTCATTTTAGAGCTCCATCAATGATTTCAATTATTCTGCTGCTAGGCTGGAAAAATTGGTTCAACTCAAAAGACAATACTAGCATCAAAAATGAAGAAATCCAACCAACGTGACACAGAGTCTATTTACAAAAACCATCCTAAAAACTGAACAATAACGTACGTAAACTCAGGGGGTCACTTCAAACATCTGCAACCAAGAGCAGTGATGCAAAACCAGCCCTGTGGCCATAGTGTGAGCAGCTGCATCATCTGCGTCCAGGACGGCCTGAAGGGCAGACCAAAAGACCACCCTGCCTTCTTCCATAAGGGTTCCAAACTCAGAACGAGAATCCCTAGAAACCAGCTCGGTGAACTTGTCCACGGTCACCCAAGTGTTATATGCGTAGCCAGGGCTCGATAAATCATGTAATCTACTCGCCCGGGGCGAGTAGATTACAAGCCGGCACAGCCAGCGCAGCGCGGTCTGCGTATGCACAGGGCGAGCTGCGCATGCACAGCTCGCAGAACCGTGTGGCTGGCGAGCGGGGATCGCTGCCGCTTGGCAAGCCCTGTGCATAGCAACTCAGCAGGACCTGCTGGTTTGCTATGTGAAGTTGAAGGCCCCTAGATACATACTCCTTTCTGCCAAAGAGATCCATTTGCCAGGCTGGCCCTGCCTCTCCCTCTGGTTCACCACCTGAACAACCAGGGACCCCATAAGCAGGTGGGAAAAGAGGTTTGTTCCTCTCTTGCGGCATGAAGTACCTCCACTTGACTTTCTTATCTGTCAGCAGGATAGAGGTCAGGGTTTGCCAGAGTGTCATTGTCTGATTTATTTTGAAGGCTTCTCTGATAGAGGTGTTGGGCTGCAGGATGCTGACTACAGGGTCCGTATTCTCCGACACCCTCTCTTCCCGGACTGCCGGACTTTGAGACAGCGGCAAAGGAGTTCCTGATAGGACCTTGAGTCCATGAAGGTCATGGAAGGAAAAGACCCACCAAGTGCCTCATCCGGTGAGGAGGATGAGGACCCTTTCATACCCACCACCTCTGGATTGCAGGTTTCCAAGGGGGCCCATGAAGCCTCAGAAGAGGCCACAGCAGAGGGCTGAGCAATGCCCCCTCCCCCCCGTTCCGTGGGAGGTGCTGGAGAAGCCTGGCCTAGGGGAAGAGAATGGCACAACATCAAGGAGCAGGTCAGTGGAGTTGCTGAGGGAGGAGCCCTTGGCCCTGAGAATACAAACTCCGGTCTAGAGGGGCCCTCATCCTGGCTCTGGTAGTAAGCCAAGGGGGTCCAGAAAGGCCACTGAGTCAGGGACTGCATTTGTGGTGGCCAGGGCTGCTGTAATGCCAGTAACGGGCAAGCTGAGGCCACCGCTGCTGGTGCATCAAGGTGCTGCGGTGCCACAAACAATGGTGGGAATAGAACCAGTGCCACGCTCCAGACCTGGAGCACCGGGATGACCAGATCGATTCCACCTCGGAGTCTGTGGAGTACTTAGTGGTTGACCAGAGTGGTACGGTGGCAGTAGTAGCCAGTGACCTCTTGGTTGGCATGTACTGGGCCATCGCCTCCGGTTTCCCCCAATGCCAAGGAAGAGGCGAGAGCATAGCCTATGCCGGTGTGCCTGATGGAGAAGGTCATAGGACCCAGTGTTGGGTTCAGTGCTGCCTGTGGTCCCTGTGCCAGTGCTGACTCCAATGCCAGGGTCTGTGTCTGTGCCAGTGTGCAGGAGGAAATGGGGGCTGCAGCCGGAGCCGAGGCTGGAGTAAGTGCTGCACTCAGGACCAAGGTTGAACCTGCTAGGGCAGGGTGGTGGAACCCTCTCACTTGTGGGTCTGGGGCGCTAAGTGCCGGGGCTGTGGGGTGGTGTTGTCTGGACCCACGCTCTTTGGCCAGGTCCGGTGCTGAGGTTGGGGAAAGAGATCAGGTCAATCAAGTCTCTTGCTGCCTGAAAGGTATCTGGAGTGGAGGGCTCCAGGAAGACCCCCTGCCAGGCTAGAACCTTGGTGCAGACTAGAGCAGTGGCAACCTGACCATGATGCAGTACTCATTGGTGCCGCATGTCCCGCTTGAGGGTGCATGCAGGGCACATGTCTTGAAGGAGACCTACCCCTGAGAGGTCTCTTCTCCTGAGGCACCAGGGACTGCGACCAGTGCCAACGCCTATGCGGCACCAGGGAGGTGCGTGAGCAATTAGGTGCCTCCCTCACTGAAGCTGGCATGCTCGGGGTTGCCGGTGCTGGATCGGACGCCAATGCCAGATCAGACGCCGGTGCCGGATGTAAAGCTGCCTCCATCAGCATACTCTTCAAGTGAGACTCCTTTTCCCACTTGGTGTGCAGCTTGAAGGCCTTGCAGATTTTAAAGGCCTTGGTCAAGTGGGTCTCTCCAAGGCACTTAATGACAGGCTGTGTGAGGGTTTCCACAGGTCATAAGCTTCTGGCACTTCTCACAGGACTTAAAGCCAGACGCGCCCGCCCTGCCTGAGTGTTTAACACCAAGTACAAAACTTAACAGCTACTAAAAACCTAGATAAGAACAATGAACTGTAAAAGTTTAACTACTAGAACAATTAAAAAAACAACAAATGTTCTGGTAGTACTTTAAAGACTAACATGTAGATGGTATCATGAGCTTTCCTGGGCACAGCCCACTTCTTCAGATGACCGGAGTTATGAATTTGGGATGTGTACACTTGAAATAAATAGGAAGAGGGAGGGAAGAAAAAGAGAGGAGGGTGGGAAACAGAGCATCAGTAGGTATCTGGAGAATGGGTACTTAAACTGAAGCAGATAAAAATCAAAGTCAATAGATAGATTCCCATGTCAGAAAGGATACTACACAGAGAGCTGTTAGCACCTTCAACGGTTGATAAATTGGTAATGTCCCAACCAACAAAGAACAATGAGAGAGAACTGTTAAGAGGTGCTTGCAGAGCAAGAGTACAGGCAAGTTCCAAGGACCATTATGAGCAGTAAGAAGGAACAGAGGGAGTGGAGAGCCAGCAGGGGTATATATTAGCTGATATACTAGCATCACTCCAGAGGGCTGCCCTACTGGCCCAAGGGGTACTGCTAAGAGAAAAACTTCCAACAACGTGTGCATGCAGTGCGCGCACACTTACATGGAATGGACATTATCAATCAATCCCCTGAAGAAGGAAGAATGCTTCTGGGATCATGTCCAGAAGCCACTTTTTTTTTTTTTTTTGACCAGAATACATCCTTATTCAGGTAATGTGGCAAAAAACTCTAATATCCTGAAAGAAAGTTGATGGGAAACTATAACACTTTGGCTGGATTAATCTTTTTAGAGGCAGTTACATTTAAAAGGAAATCGCCTGTGTTTTGTTCAGACCATAAATGTTTGATAAATAAAACATATCACTTCCCAAAACAAATAAACTTTGAAATTCATTCATTTAGGTGATTTATTAGTCACTTTGCAACTATACTACATTTTGCTACTTTAGAGTGATGTCAGCCCACTAATTCAAAAATACAACAGGCTTTATGGTGATGTGTTTCTCTACTGCATTGGGGAACATGATAATACTATGCCAATTTAGAAACAATTTGGTATGGATTTTAACCATAGCACAAGCTCACTTAGTGTAATTGTTGTTTGGCAGCCTTTATTGTCCCAAAATATATTTACAAATAGGCGAGACCTTTTGGAATTATAATTTAGTAACAAGTAACTAAAGAAAAATAATTGTATCCAACTTCAAGGAACTGACAGGTCACTGCAAAGTGATCACTAACTCTTGGACTACTTTTAAACTGAAAACTGGATTCAATAGCTTTAAGACAATAAAAAAAAGAGATTGGAGCCTCCTCTTTCATACCCTGACAACATCTCACAGATGACATGCAGTAAAACATCACAGAACAGACGATGCAAGACACGTTATTGTTGACTGGGATTCAGCATTTGAAACTGGTGAAAAACATACAAATGACAGTACCTTGTAAACCAAACAAAAACATTGTGTGCATGTGTGTGTGTATAATGTATTATGCAGTACTGTGAAACTCCTCCATAAAGAAGTTACAAACTTACTTAATATCAAGTTTCTCTTACTCCATGGCATTCATAATGCATTGTAAACAGTATATGCTTAGCTACATACTGTACATATATGGCTCTTCACTGTAGTACACAGACACCAATCAACATGGAGGGCCTGATATTTTATACTTATACCAGCTCTGTGTTAAATGGTGTCTCAGACTGAGGAGGGGTAAACAAAGATCCCTTTAAATTGCCAACACAGTTTAAAGTGGTGATAATGCAAAGTGTATCAGGACCAGTATCTTCACTGAACCATCAAAGCCTTCTTATTACTAAATTAATGGAGAGAGTTTCAGAAGGTACACAAAGGATTTAGGGGAACCTGTGGTCCTAAATATCTCCTTGGGTAACCATGCTATCTTGCAGCTGTTATCTTATTTTCCTTCAACCATTCCCTTCCCTGAAGTTTATTTCTCTCACTTGCAAGCTCTTCTGGGCATGAACCATGTTTTTCTACTTGTTCTGTAACTCTTATTTGTAGCTAGCTACAGATATTACAGAAATCAAGTTAAATTACTTAATACACAGGCTTGTCTCCATTACTC